CATTTTTCAACTATTGCAGTGTGTTCTTCATCTTCTTGGATGATCTGGCCATATCCAACAGTGGGGTTTTTAGGTCCCCTACTATGATAGTGTTTCAGTTTGTTTCTCTCTTTAGTTCTGTTAGTAATTGCTTTGCATATTTCGGGGCTCCCTGATTGAGAGCATTGATATTAATAAGTGTTATCAATTTTTTATTTGAGTTGTTTTGGATCTCACTGGGTTTTTTCAGAAGTGCCATCCTGAATTCTGTCATTTGAAGTCAATTTCATCTGATATTAGTACTGCTACTCCTGCTTTTCTCTGAATGACATGTGCTTGAAATATAATTTTCTACCCTTTCACTTTGAGTCTATATTGTCTTTGGAGCTGAGATGTGTCTCCTGGAGGCAACATATGGTTGGGTTTTGTTTTTTGATCTATTCTGCAACTTTGTGCCTTTTTATTAGTGAATTCAATCCATTTACATTTAGGGTGATTATTGAAGTATGAAGTCTTCTTATTTTATCTTTTTCTTTCTGGTAGTTTGGTGTTTCCATTGCTTCCTTGTCCTTGTGTTGTTTTCTTTATTTTGGTTGGCTTTTGTGGGTTTTCCTTCTGGTTCCTCTTGTTTTATGTTATATACTTTGGTTCTGAATCTTTGGCGTGTGGTTACCATTATGAATATGTAAATATAGTTATATATATTCAGTCATCCATTTTCTTCTGCATGTACTTTATCTCCATTCCCCTTTGTGAATTTGGATCTTTGAATCTCTTCCTTTTCAGTCATTGTTATCTCAATTTGTTTTTATGTATGCTGAATGTTCATTACTATCTTGTTATAACAATTCTCTTCTTATTATTTAAGCTTATAATGCTCTGTTCTTAGTAAGGGTTGCACTCCTTTGCTTCTATTTCCCTGATAGTCACTTTATTCCTAATTATGTACTCTTTTGCTCATTTTGTTTTTGGTGAACTGACGCTTTTCAGTATTTCCTGTAGTGTAGGCCTTGTACTGGAGAATTCCTTCAATTTTTGTATGCCTGGAAAGGTCTTTATTTCTCCTTCATATCTAAAGGAGAGCTTAGCTGGATAAATTATTCTAGGTTGGAAGTTTCTTTCACTTAATAGCTTAAATATTTGATTCTATTCCTTTCTGGCTTGCATGGTTTGCTCTGAGAAGTCCAAGGATAATCTAATGGGTTTTTCTTTATAAGTTACCATTTTTTTCTCTTTGGCTGCCTTGAGAATTCTGTTTTTTGTCGTTGATTTTTGATAATTTTAATATAATGTGTCTTCGTAAAGGACTTTTGCGGTTGAGATAATTGGGTGTTGTGTTGACTTCATGAATTCCGAGCTCCAGCTCATTCCTTAGATTTGGGAAATTGTCATCCATTGTTTGTCTGAAATTGCTTTCTAATCCCTGTTTTTTTTCCCTGCCCTTGATAATGCCCATTATTATTGTTTCCTCTCCTGATGGTATCAGCTAGTTCTTGAATTTCTCTTTCATTAATTTTCATTCTTCAGTTTCTCTCTTCTTCCTTCTGATTTATTTCTAGATATCTGTCTTCGATATCACTTATCTTTTCTTCCATTTGGTCAACTCTGTTGTTTCCCAAGCTTGCTGTTTCATTTTTCAACTATTGCAGTGTGTTCTTCATCTCCAGAAGTTCTATTTGGTTCTTTTTGAGTGATTCAGTTTCCTTGCTCTGCTCATCTAGTTGTTTTTTCAATTCTTGCAATTTTTTATTTGAGTTGTTTTGGATCTCACTGGGTTTTTTCAGAAGTGCCATCCTGAATTCTGTCATTTAAGTCACATATTTCTATGTTTGCAATTTTATTTTCTGGAGATTTTTCTCTTTCTTTCTGAGCTGCCTTGTCACCTTGGTTGTTCACAGTGTTTAATGGACTATTTTTCTGCCTGGCATTAATGGAAATGTATTCTGCTTTTTCCCAGAAAGAAGATTTATTATATAAAAGTCTCTCTTTAGCCTGTTGCAAAGAAGGCACTTTTCTTCTGGTTTCCAGTAGGTGGTGTCTAAGCCTCTTGGATCCTTGCTTTACATAAAGCTTTAAAAATCAGTTTTTATTTTCTGATAGATATTTAATCATGTTCGCTACCCTCAGTTTCAGTCCCTGCCAGTATTAGCAACAGTTTTGGTAGCATTTGCTCAGATTCCCCTGGGCTCCGCAGTGTTCCATCTCTGAAGGTATGCGGGGAGGGGTCTTCTGAGTTGGGGATTGGGGGCTGCAGCTCAGTCTTGGTTTTCCAATCACAGTTGGTAAAAATCAGCTGTTTCTCTGCTGGCCGCTTCTCTGCTTTCTGCCCTGATGACTGGGCCCTGCAACCAGCAGGCCACGGGGAGCTTGCAACTTTCTCAGGCAGGGCTGTTCAGGGAACTTGACACATGAACTCGCTGCTCTTTCTCCCCTCCTTCACTTCCCCTCCCCCTCCTCCTTCATGGAGCTCCAGAGGCTGCGAGAGGTAGCTTCAGTCTCAGCAGTGTTTGCTCAGATTCTCCTGGGTTTCTGTGGTGATCAGTCCTGGAGGATATGGGGTGAGGGGCCTGCTGGATTAGGAGTTGGGGGCTTCGGCTCAGCCTTGGTTTTGCAACCAGGGCCGGTAAAAATCAGCTGTTGTTTCTCTGTGGTCCTGCCCCACTTCTCTGCTTTCTACCCTGATGACTGGGCCCTGCTGCCGGCCGCATATAAGTTCCAGGCAGGGTTGTTCAGGGAAGTCACTGCACCTTCACCCCTCCCGCTCCTCCTACAGGGAGCTCTGGCGACTGCCAGAGGTAGTTTCTTTATCTCCCAGTCCACTGCCTGACATCTAGGGTTCTGACCTGTAGTAGGTCTTATGTGCAGATCCCACACTCAGACATGCTGGTGTGCAGTTTGGGTGTTTTTTTGTTAAGTTTTAGATGTTCAGCTTATTGTTGTTTCAAGGGGAAAGATCTGGGGATGTCTCTCACTCTGCCATGTTTTTTCCTCTCTGACAATTCTTTAATCAGAGAGGATAAAAGGTTCATTCTTATAAAAGTACAGTTAGTATATTTGCTGAGTTACAACCTCCTTGTACATTTTTATGTAATGTATATTTTTATTTAACAAGCATGTGAATCAATGTTTGTTACCAAGCTCCAGCATGTTCTCTGTGGCTGTGCTTCTTCCCATCTTTCTAACTAGATCCTGTGCTTTCTTCCTCACACTGGTCTACATCACTCAACCAGCCTCTTCAGGTCCTGCCTGCAACGTCTTTGTTCTTACTGTTGTTCTTTTTTTCTGACTAGAGCACCGAGACTGCAGTTTTCAGAACTATTTGCTAATATATCACTTCTCACCTAGGTTAATATGGGGGAGAACAGACCAGTTTGGATAGTTGAGAGAACTACTGACTTCTGTTGCAGCATGCTGTTTTCTGTAATAAATAATAAATCGATGGTAGCATTATGCTGCCCAATCACTGGAACTATACATTTTTAAAAATTTACTTTTATGGAGGTAAAGAAGAACTACTTTAAAGTGCACAACTCAGTGATATTTTGTACAGTTACAATGCTGTATGACCACTACCACTATCAGTTCTAGAATATTCTCATGATTCCAGATGGAAACTCAAAACCCATGAACAGTTACTCTTCCCTCCGCTAGCCCCTGGCAACCACCAATCTGCTTGCTTTGTCTTGATGGATTGACCTTTTCTATATATTTCATATAAATGGACTCATGTGTTTTATATGTGTGTATGTGTCTATGTGTGTCTGTGTGGCTTCTTTCAGTTATTATAATATTTTCAGGGTTTATCCACATTGTAGCAATTGTAAATACTTCATTCTTTATATGGCTGAATCATACCCTATTGTATGGATGTACCAGAATTTATTCATTCATTTACTCACTGTAAATTTTGTTTTGGGGAAGAATCAAATCACTTTCTGTGTCTCCAGTGCCTATCATAGTGGCCAGGGCAGCAGCAGGATGATGTGCAGATGGTGCAGTGTTCAGGACACATGGCTGAAGGGTCAGTGTGGCTTGAACCAGCTCACTAGGCTCTATAGAAGCCTGCCTAAGCTGTATCTACTCTAAGTAGTGCCTCCTTTGTCCTCCACCTGCAATGGCACCTTTAGTTCAGAAGGAAGTCTCTGAGAAACAGATATGGAAGGAGAGCTGTGATGACATATCATGTATTAGTAAAGCATAGTTAACACAGCTTACTGTCGGCCCCCCCACCAAAAACAAAAACAAAAACAAAAACAGTCCAACCCTTCTAATCCCTGACTTTCAGGCTTATGATCCTTCACTCCTCTTTATTTCATACCTGACACTCAGACCATGTGGAAGCATTTCCCTCCCGATACATGGAAGATGACCAACTCCCTGCTCTTCCACTGCTAATGCTCTCATCTGGGCCACCACCTCTCACATGTATGATCTCTGAGCTGGTCTGTGGGTGTTGGTCCTTGAGTTCCTGTAGTTTGTTCTCAACCCATCACCCCAAGGTCCCTCTCCAGCTGGAAGCCAGATGACAGCACTTATGTTTCCAAATACTTGGAAGCTCCCCATGTCACTGCAGATAGAATCTGAAGGCTTTTTACAGTAGCCTGCAAGACCCTACTGGGTACCCTTATTAGTTATGAGCCCTCCTTCCACTTCCCCCAGATTGGTGTTTCAGCTACACCATTTCCTTCCCCCCAGTGACCATAATGCTTCACTCTCTGCCTGCCTTTAGGTTTTTATTTCTCACATCTTCCCGATGAGGAATTCACTGACTATCATAAACCTACCTAATATCCTTATCTCTGGCCAAGTTATCCTAATAATTTATCCATTATCCACTGTCTTTAATGCAACATATCCTGATAGCCATTGTCACTAAAATAAGTTCCATGGAAAAAATACCCTCCCCCCTAATTTCTTCACCACTTGGTCCCCAGCAAGTCTGAGTGTGCTTGTCAACATGGTAGGTTCTGAACAAGAACTTGCTTGGCAAGTGATTTAGCATCTGTCCTCTTTGTCAACAGGCTCTGTGGCTGCTCCATCACATCTTTATACTCTCGGGATCTTGCATCCACCCTCACAAGCAATCAGAGGCTGGAGACTCTGGACCTGGGCCAGAATATCTTCGGGAAGAATGGAATAATAGTGCTCTTTGAGGCTTTAAAACAGAACAATAGCCCCTTAAAGACGCTCAGGCTGAAGATGGATGGTTCTAGTGTGGAAATGCAGATGCTGTTGGAGGAAGTGAAAGACAGCAATCCCACACTGACCATTGATTGTGAGGATTCCAGAACAACTAGGTCCTCGTACTGTGACTTCTTTTCCTCAATGCTCTGAGATAATGCTCTAGCAATTAAATGTCTCTCTGATGATATCTCTTTAATGAAGATTATAGGGTCAAATATTAATTACTGTGCCAAAACATAGAACAGAGCACTGGCTTTCACTATCTGGTTTACGGTAAATTCTGCACGAGTCACATACCCACTTTATGTCAGAATTCTGTTATCTTTCACAAGGATGCAAGAATAATAAAAGGCAAAGCACTATGTTTGAAGCTGTGTTTATTAACATGCCCCAAAGCTAACAGTGTAAACTTTACGGCATACGTAGTCCAGGAAAAAACATTATGAAATTCATAGATGATGGTAGAATTTTTTCCTATATTCTACCCTAGCTCAAGTACTTCTTGGCCTAATTTAATTATAGGCTGATGGGTCTACATAATCAGTGCAGTTCATGGTTTTCTTACTCAGTTTTATGATATTCTAACGTAGGAGTTGGTAAGCTTTTTCTGTAAAGGGCCCAATAGCTAATATTTTAGGGTTTACAGTCTATATAGTAACTGTCACAACTCACATTTGCTGTTATAGTGTAAAAACAGCCAGAGACCATATGAGGATGAGAGGGCATGGCTGTGTTCCAATAAAACTTTATTTATGAAAACAAGCAATGGGCTAGATTTGGCCAGTGGGCAATCATTTTCCAACCCTTGCTCTAATCCTGTTGTTGATGAAGCACAGACCTGACCGCATCTGTTTGCTTTAAACTTTCGATAATTCTGTGTATAATCCATTGCCATGAAGAAGAAAGCCCTTCTTGGTTATCCTCAGACTATTGCTTGTAACCACAGAAAAGGCAGCAAAGCTACTTCAGAACTTCCTTTAAAAAAATTAAACAACTCAAGATCACCATTTAGCACTAACTCTTAGGCACAGACAATAGTGAGTGACATTTTCTCTTAATTTTTCCACCAAACTCCAGAGGTGAGTGATAAGACTGTTTACGTGGTCCCATGTTGATATACATGGGTGTGTGTGGGGGCGGTCCATAACAATATGGGATGTGATCAAAGTCCTGGTTATAAAAACAGTGGCCTAGAGTTAGAGATTTAGGTTGAAGGTAGAAATGACAAAAAAATTTTTTTGTTTTGGATTCAGGATAACATTTTATTTTGGTGAAGTTTTCTCCCCAACAGTTTTTACCTGCTAACTTCTAACTATAAAACCCCTAAATTTCAAAGTTTTAGGTAAGATGAATATATCTTTTTAAAACCTTATTTTTGAATAATGATAGCCTGCTTTTCAATCAAAAGTGAAGGTTATTAACCCTCTGCATTTTGAGGATATTATTCCGTGGGGTTTGGCCTTCATTATTGCCATGTCTTTGTAGCCAGTCACTCCTTTCATTCTGGCTGTTGTCGAGAAATTCTCTTTGAATACTAATGTATTTATGCACAAATTTTCTTTCCTTTTATCTCCTAGTTTTTGTTTGTGTGTTTTTTAAAGTTTTTTATTTTTCAGTTACAGTTGACATTCAATATTATATATGTTTAAGGTGTACAGCATAGTGGTTAGATATTTACATAATTTACAAAGTGATCTCCCAGTTAATCTAGTACCTACCTGGCACTATACATAGTTATCACAGTATTTCCTTTTATGCTGCTAGGGTTTCAGAATTTTGGGGAGAAAAAAATTCAGCCTTTATCTCTTTACATATTGTCTTCCATTTTCTATATTGTCTCCTCATTTATCTCCCATATTTCTTAGTGTTTCACCCTTTCCCCTTCTGTGCTATATTCTGTGAGTTAAGTATCACCTTAGTTGAAAAAGAGTTGGGCAACTAGAAGATAAACACCACAAATTGACACATAACTCTTAGTAACTCAAGTATGGAGGTACTAGGGCTTAACTTCGTCACTCAATGATCTCATGAAGGACCTGATTTCTTTTACTGTCCAGCTTTGCCGTCCTTATTAAGATAAATCTGTTTATTAAGGTCCTTATTAAGATAAATCTCAAATGTTCAAGTTGCTATGGTATTTGGGGTGACACCTGCTGACATCAACTTAAATCAAGCTTTTGCATAAGGGTGGTTAGTGGGATGTGGAAAGGCAAGGATTTTAAGGGACTATCAGGGGGAGGAATTGAGTCTGGATCAGGAGAAGTGATCAAGTAATTAGAGGTGGGGCTGAGTCAAAATTCAGGGTTCTGCTTGAGCACAAAGCTCATAGTACATTTTTTTTTTTAATTAAAAGAACTCTCATAAAAACCAGAGACAAATGTAGTAGAGGCTGGTTGTGATCGAAATGTCTGGATCACTAACCAATGTAGTGTATATCTAAAACTAATATGTAATAAAAAAACAAAACAAAACCCTGTCTGGGTCAGACCCTCTACTGGATATTTCAAGTACATTTTGATTGAAACATTGCAGAAGTCTCCCCCTAAAAAGAATCATGTTATTTTTTCTTTTTATAAATAAGAAACAAACACAGCCAGAGGACTCTGTGCCCTGATGTGGCAAAGCCTCTAAGAAGCAGCGGTGACCTGAAACCATCATTCATCATATTGTAAAGATTGTGGTTTGTCTTATAACTCACTTTGTACAGAAAAATTTAAAAAGTCTTACAGAATTTGGAATAAAAGGCATAGAGTTTAGGATACTGTATAGATCAGTGTGTTGCAGAAATGTTGCAAAATCAGACCGGTGAGAAACCAAGCACCACTCAGAGAGTTGGAGTACTCATGTTTATTATACAGGCAGTCCCAGAAGAGCTGGCACTCTGAAGATCTGTTCTCTGAGCTCAGATGCAACTTTGCTTTTATAGGGCTTGTCCGTGCAGTTACATTTGGCCAGTTGGCATGTGTGTTGATTGGTTAATTTGTCCTCAGGCAGTTACAAAGAGTTACAAAGCGTGAGGTTTTCAGGCAGGAACTCAGGCAATATATCTGTTATCTGTTATCTAGACAGAATAAGCAAAAAGGAAGATGAATCTTTAGTTAATTTCGAGGTCACCCTGCCCTTTGGCCTATGCGGCAAGCATATCTATAGAAGCAGAACAAAGAGCTGATTATAAGATTAGCCATTTGAGTGAAATATCCTCTTCAAGTGGTTCTCAGAAGGGGTGATTTTGCCACCCAGGGGACAATGGACAACATTTGGAGTTATTTTTATTGTCACAACTAGGGGGTGCTCCTGGCATCTAATGGGTAGAGACCAAGGTTGCTGCCAAATGTACAAACAAATGCCAGGACACCCTCTTCCTCCTCCCAACAAAGAGCTAGTAGTACTGAGAGTGAGAAACTCTCCAGCCCCCGATTTATTTATTCACTGCTGTAGAACAAGACAGTGGTCCACAAGCCCGGGGCGATTTTGCCCCTCAGGGAACACTTGCCAATGCCTAGACACATTTTATTTCTTTATCGTGGCAAAATACACATAACATCAAACTTACCATTTTAATCATGTTAAAGCATACAATTCAATGGCATTTAGAGCATTCACAAGGTTGTGCAACCACTACCAACCACCATCTAGTTCCAGAACATTCCATCACCCAGAAGGGCACCCAGCTGCTCTGTTAGGCGGCCCCTCTGTATCCACCTCTCCTAGCCCCTGGAAGCCATGCATCGCATGTGCTTTCTGTCTCTCTAGACTTGACTATTTCAGATTTTTTGGGTCACAGCTGATCGTGCTGCTTGCTCCAAGTGGGCAGAGGCCAGGGGTGCTGCTGAACACCCTACAAGGACAGCCCCGGCAGCAAAGAACCATTCTGTCATTCTGAGGTTGAAAACCCCACCACGGATGAAAGTAGGAACAGCTTCTAGTCAGATGTGATGTCTCCAGGATGCCCACCCTCCCTGGGTTTCTCTGCTGGGTAAATGAAGACCCCGGAAGACTTTACTTTTTCTTCTCTCTTCCTTCTGGACAGCAGGCGTCAAAATGTCCACCTCATGGTGTTTCGAGGAATGGTTCCCCACAGCCTGTCACTCCACTTGCCCTCCACCAGCCTCTGTCCCTTCACAGCTCAGCTTTGCAGGGGCCAGAGGGCCTGACAGCCTGCAGAATCGCAGCTCCTGCTTCCCCGCCCTGCTGCACCCCAGAGAAGGGGTGGGTAGCTGGCTATCCTGCTCCGGAAAGGAAGAAAACTCTCCGTTTGGGGCTGATCTAACAGGGCTTGTTTTCCAGGGCTGTGCATGAGCCAGCAACTCAGGCCCCAGATGAGTCCATCCCCCAACATCATGGTTCATTTAACCCCCTTCTTGCTTGGCACGAGGCAGTTGTGGAGCTGGCCTTGGGGTTCAAGCTCACTTGTACAAGAGTCTCAGTAGGGAGAGTGGCATGGGGAGTTAAATCCGTGGAGATTCAGGGTAGGAAGGTTCTTCCTGGGGATACCTGTTAGATCTTCTCTTCCAGCTCACCTGGATTCCAGATTCCAAATGAAGGTCTGTGACAATGCTGGGCTAGGTCATTCAGAAGAGAAACATTCCATCATAGACCAAGGGGAGAGTCAAATTGGAACATTCCATCAGATGCCAATGGGGGAGTCAAAGTGGAACCAAAGGAGAGCCAGAAGTGGAGGATTTCATCCTAGATCAAGGCGGGAGAGGAGGGGGAAGCCAGAGGCAGAACATTCCATCGTAGACCAAGGAAGAGAGAGCCAGAAGGGAACATTTTATGACAAACCAAGGCAAGAGCCAGAAACATTTCATCATGGACCAAGGCAGCGGGGCTTCACACTCTGTGTTGGAAAACTTCAATGTCCAGACCACATGTACAATGCACGTCTCAGAGAAGGCTTCCCATAGGCCAGTAAAGTACCATTCTTACTATGGAGCTGGAGGGCTCTGGAGAGAGCTCAGTGATACCCCTCTCCCCCGGAGCAGAGGAGGTTGGGTGAGTGGTACTCACAGGGCCATCTTGGTCAGATCTGGCCTGGGGTCTGTTGTCTCCAGCAGATCTTCTGCCTCACCTCCCATCCGAACTCTCAGTCCTAGAATCTAGCTCAGAACTTGCCTGGATACTGCTCTGAGACCCAAGCTAGCCTCCTG